AATTGCGGTGGCGCCCCTTTTTCCTAAAGAGGGTCGCGTCCGATTCGGCAGAAAGGCCACAAAGGCCAACGCCAGTCCGGTGGTGGTGTTTAGCGGGTAGGCACTTCTTCAAAGTGAGTCCCACATAACGACGCTGCCAGCTGCCGTGATATGCTACTCGTATGAGTATGAATTGTGATGCAAATTTTAAACTTAAGTTCAAATACATAAATGAATAATCATATACCGGTATTGCAGTTTTTGTAAATTATCCTTTTATTTGAAGTTATCCCAAATTGAATGTGATTTATGGGCAACAGCGTTTTACGTACCGATTGACCCTTACGAATGTGTGCGTGCGCAGTAAAATCAGTTTAAAATAATGCATTCATTACCACCCATTTTGAATTTAAAAGATGAAAGAGACAGAAAATTTGAGATTTTTAAATTAATTGCAAAATAACCCTGTATATGTCTACGGGTTAAAGCATCCAATTAGTATCTGGTGGACTGTGTATTCTTTTTTTATTCCTTTACTTTTAAAAATTACAGCAAAATAACTGATATGAAATATTTCAATAATTAGATACAGCATATATAAGTCAATGGATACAACATAAGCTGTTGCCTATATTATGTCTAATTCTATTTATTTATTTAAACTTTTATGTACAAAAAATAAAATCATATATGGCGGACTTAATGCCTTAAGGCATAAAATGTTTACGAAGTTTGGATAAACCAGAATATAATATATATACACGTTTATAAGGTATTCTATATATATTTTGTATCTAATAATATATTATATTAGATACAACGTGGATAACAATATACGCTATACATTTTCCTGTTAAAATTGGTTTTCCTGTTACAATCTTAACAAAGTACAAAATACCAAAGAAGCAGTTTATGATTATTAATATCTATTCTTCATTCATTAAGACGATAACGCTCTCTTGAAGAACTACAGCCCGAATTCCCTTCTTAGCCGCGTCTACGTGCAGTTGTCAAGAGTCATTACGAATCATCTAGCATGCAGACTCGACGACTTCCAGCCCCCCGCACAAGTCGGTTTCCGAAAAGGCTTTAGCACCAGAGACCACTTACATACCCTTCGGCAAATTGTACAGAAGTTCGAGGAGTACAATTTGCCAATATGTCTGGCGTATGTGGACTATGAGAAAGTCTTTGATTCCGTCAAAATTTGGGCGATGTTACAGTCCCTTCAGCGGTGCCAAGTTGAGTGTTGGTATATCGAAGTGCTGAAGTGCTTGTACAGTAGAGCTACGATGGCTATCCGAGTACAGAACCAGAGTACGAAACCTATCCAATTGCAGAGAGGTGTAAGACAGGATGACGTTATATCCCCGAAATTCTTCACCGCTGCATTGGAAGACGTTTTCAAGCTTCTGGACTGGAAAGGATACGGTATTAACATCAATGGCGAGTACATCACTCACCTTCGATCTCTTCTTCCAGCTCCACTATCTTCTCGTCAGTCCTCAGGGTGCGTGCGTTGTACGTTGCCAGGTCGAGTCGTCTAAGGTGGCAACCGAACATCCACCGGAGATTCTTAGCACCCACTGCCCCGCCGTTACCATGGTCGCCACCGTAGCCAGGAATGGCGGGGCCTCCGGGGACTGGGGGCCGTCTGTTTGTTGCTCTAATCATTGGGGGGTATTTGCCATAGTTGCCACGCTTAGCGAGCGGGTTGGCAACCGCAGTTTTTTTATTGTAATTTTGGCTATTATCAGGAAGATGCTGCTGCCCATCTCCTGCCTGTTTCCCTTTGTCGCCTTTTACGACACCCACGGGAAGATGCCGCCTTTTAAGGTTATAATTAGTGCTAATAATTTTACGCTCACCAGATGTCGCTAGCTGTGTGAAGTTGTTTGTTACACAAGGCCATTATAATCAGGGAATTGTGTTTTAAATAAAAGTTTATCGATTTTTGAGTGTGTAAATACATAAAGCATGGCCTTAGTGTATTGGTGTTTAATTTTTTTTTTTTTGCACCTTTTACACACATTGAACGTAAAGCGGAGATGTAGTGCTCTATTGTCACCAAATCAAAAAATCGCAATCCATTCAACTTAAACCACTTCCACCAGCTTTATATTGCATTTATATAAGAAAAACAGTAGTACACCAGTAGCAACAGGCGAGTTCAAATATTACTTCTGACGTAGTTATAAGATTATTTTATTTCGATTATTATTAAAAAAGTTAGGTGATTGAAAATAATTTCAGTTGGTCGGTATGTAAACAAGATATCTTTCGAAAAACTGAACTTATCACTGTGATTTTTTTATTAGCTTTAGATTTTAATCCTTAGGAATCTTTTGAATTTCATTATTGTATTCATATTTCGAGTTGTGCACTTTTAGAAATTAATAAACTAAATATCGTTTAGTTTATTAATTTCTAATTTAACTGATATAAAGTTAGAAAGAAACATTAAATTTTTCAAACAAATTAACTTCCCCCGCTATGAAAGCTGTCAAATACTTCACTTCATGCCTAAGAGGCGCCACCCAGGTGGTAGAAAAACTCGTGGATGCCCTAATTAATGGACGAGAACACATATACCTATATTTATAAATACCAGCTTCATAATTTACTTGATGTTTATTTATCCCAACATTACTGCCTATCTGCCTCATAATAATGTCTACAAGTTATTTATGGTCCCACCTCACAGGACTAACCGCGGTCTTAATTCAGCATTATGCAGAATGTTTAGACTGTATAGTAATATATCTATGCCATTTGATTTGGATATTTTCAATGACAATTTATATAATTTTAGAAGAAAAATTTTACTTTATTTAGATGATAGGTACCGTACTATATATAGTACTGTACCTATATAGTACTGTACTATCAAATTTTACGTTATTTAACTTTTTGCAACATTACTCTGTCTTAGATTTGGTTGCCTATAACTAGTTGAGCACATTGCATGTTTCTCACATTGCTTGTACCTTGTTTTCTGCCGACTTCAAAAAGGAGACGTTACTCAATTCGGCTGTATGTCTTTTTTATGTGTGTTACCTAATAACTTCTTACTGGTGGAACCGATTTCGATGATTCTTTTTTTATTTGAAAGCCGGTACTTCACATGTGGTCCCATATGAATTTGATCAAGGTCAGACCAATAGTTTTTGAGTTATTCTTAATAATTTATATTGAAGTCGGCTGTACAAAATTTTTTAATTTTAAATTATTAGTTTTCGTGTATCATCTGTGGGTGACCCTTATAAATAAATAAATAATATAACACATAGTTGCCACGCTTAGCAGGCGGGTTGCCAGTTTTTTATTATTTTGGGTTGCTATCAGGAAGATATTGCTGTCTACCCCCTGTTTCATATTCCTCCGCCGCCCCTTGGACAGCACAGGTTGTTATAGGTAGTCACTACCCTACCCTACCTTAGAGTGGACCACCCTACAGGGTAGTGGATTATCTAATGTCCGCACTATGCGGCGAATATATCGAAAGCTATGGGAACACTGTGAATATAATCTATTGGTAAAAATGGCCAAGTGCGTGTTATTTTAAACCAGCGTGAAGTAGAGGTTTACCTCTACGTTTCGCTTGGTGAGTGCAGGTGGCCGGAGGCCTTTTTTACTGGCAATGAGGCATTCCATCTTAGTCCTCACGGGTGACAACGCATCTACATTTTGATTTGTAACAGAGGATAGATGTAGATGTCTATGGGCCGCAGCAACCACTTACCATCAGGTGGACTGTGTGCTCGTTTGTCACCCTTATCCTATAAAAAAAAATTTTCTAAAATATAAATATTTGCATTGTGAAACATTATTCTTATTAACATCTTATTTTTAGGCTTTTTAGTACTGTTAATTATACATACCTATATAGAAAAAAAAAACATCTGCTTATTTGCCATGTAAAGGCGGCTACTCACTTGCGTGCTGCAGGGGCAGTCTAGGGTGAACAGCGATCGGCGCAATATCAGAAATGTCTCTACACACATGCCTGCCGTTCAGCATGAGAATGCACGTTTCATTGGACACACTCGTTGAAAATAGCGCCAGTTTTATCAATGAATCGGTATACGAGTATATTCCGACTTCCATTTTGAATTTCCATTGTGAGTTGTACTCACAATGAAAGTCGCTAATGAACTGACTGAAATTGCCCCTATTGCGATACACATGCGGCAGCGGCAGTTATGATCTAAAGAAGAATAAAGGTCTTGCGCCCCTGCCGCACTACCACAGGGTCGATTTAGGATATTGCCACTGCTTGAATACACACATCATAATTAAGGAGGCAATTAAGGGCCATCGCCACTCCTACACGCTAGATTGCCCCTGCGGCAGGCAAGGGAGTAGCTGCATCAAGAATATCCATTACCCCATATCGTACGGTTGTTAGAAGTGACAGAGGAAAGCAGAAAATGAGCAGTGTCTTCCTTATCCGATACTAAATTGAACGTTGCGTAGTGTGGAGCCTTGCAATTTTGCGCATTGCGCTTCTTCTGACGCGCGCCAAAAAAACCGACAAAAATCGGAAAACAATGCACGAAAGAAGCGCAAAGGTACGAATCGGTTTCACATTATGCGTTCGCACAACGGCCCTTTGTGCCATCGTACGGTTTGTGCACTAAGTACAGTATAAACTAACCACAGAATATATAATAGTTTTTTTTTTTATAGGATAAGGGTGACAAGCGAGCACCCATTCCAGCTGAGGGTAAGTTGTTGCTGTGGCCCATAGACATCTACATCTATCCTCGTTTGCGAATCAAATTGCAGATGTGTTGTCAGCCGTCTTTTCCAGTAAAAAGCTGTTCTCTACACTCACCATACGAAAGACAGCAGCAGCAAACTGCTATTTTACGCTGGTATTCTGTGAGAGCGTGGTCCTTTCCCGGTTGAGCCGACCCATTCGTGCTACAACTGTACAATTAATATAGTTGCAGCATGGCTCTACCTCGTTTGACAGTTGTCGTCACCATCATTCTACTATGTGCATGTGTGTGTTGCAGTAAACGTGCCAACGGTGTCGTTCGGGCTGGCGCTGGGCTGGGTGTCGCTGGCGAGTGGTGAGGCGGCGGGAGCCGACGGTGGAGCGGAGGCGGTGGTGGCAGCCGTCACCACGTTCGCCGCCTCGTCGCTCGGCGTGCCCATCAGCGCCAGTGCACTGCGCTACGGCAGGAAGTTTGCCGTTATAGCTACTTCATTCACATTTGTAGTAAGTGCGCACTTAATAGTGGTTGTTAATGAGGCATTAAGCTAGAAGCGGTATACAAACTAAGACAACTTACTCGAAGAGGCTCAAACATTCTATCCTTTTTATATTTTAATTTAAAAATGCGTGATTATGCATTATTTTAACTGATTGTCATTCATAAACATGTAACGTTTACTATTTCATAACGCACGCACACATTCGTAAGGGTCGGTAGGTCGGCAAAAATATCCATGTTTTATTCCGTGCATCGCACACAGAGGAGCGCGTCAACGCTGTAGTTGTTGCCCATAAATCGCATTCAATTTTGGATAATTTCAAATAATAGTAGAAGCCTTATTTATTCCTACTGTATTATATAGCATTATCTATATAGTTTTATTCAAATATATAAATAATGGTACGAAATAACGGTATACCATTATTTATATATTTAAACTAGCTGTTCCTCGCGACTTCGCTAGTGTGTAATTTAGGGTTTTAATTTTGTTGCGCGGAACTCTAATTATTTTTCAAAAATATAAGTAGCCTAAGTTACTCCTTATAACATGAGCTATCTACCAGTGAAAGTCCCGTCAAAATCGGTCCAGCTGTTTCGGAGATTAGCCGGAACAAACAGACAGACAGACAGACGGACAGACAGACATACAGACAAAAATTTTGAAAATTGTGTTTCTGTTATAGGTACCGTATATACTTTTATATGCAATTAGTAAAAAGCTGTTATTTTGACATTACAGACATTTCAATTTTATTTATTTGTATAGATAAAACTAGTTTTTACGGATTTTAATTTACCCACGTATATTAATTTTTAACCACGTATATTAATTTCTTTTATATTCCTGAAGTTGCGAGCACTTTACAGCACCCATGGTCACTGGTGGGACTGAAGTGTTTGACGTCCCAATGTCATATTCAACCACGGCTACCTCCAGATAAAAGTACATGGCGACACTAGTTACCAATAGCGATTCTGAAGCTATCTGAGGCCCATATAAGGCCGGTATAGACCGCGACCTGAACCTGCACCCCCTATTCCCTAAAGGAGGGCGCCTCCGATTCGGCAGAAAAGCCATAGAGGCCAAAGCCAGTCCCACGGGCGGTGTTTAGTGGGTAGGCACTTCTTAGTGAGTCACACACAACCACCAGCCGGCTGCGTGGTATGATATGAGCATTCACCACCTCTCTCCCCCGCTTCCGGAGGGTAGCCTTGCTTTGGTCGCAAAAAAAGCGACCGGAATCAGTGTTGAGCTTGCGATACAAGCGAATACTTCGAAGCGATACACCTGCGAACTAAAGTGATCAGTAGTACAATTGTGTTTTATTATCAGTGTGTTTTTAAGTTGTAATTAGTGTTCTGTAATTAAAGTGTCAATTTTGGTAATTTCCTCGGCAGTTTTTAATTGTATCGAAGCCCAATCTCGTAACATTATTAAGTTCCGATCTATGCAGTATGAACTTATACTACCTTGAAGTCTTGTTGTATGCTTGAGTTGGGATTTAATTTTATTAATTAAAGGATCCCAAGCAGATGGGCCCAGCCATCTTCTCTATTTGAATTAGGATGTTATTTTGATTTAATAGCCACGCGAATCATCCTTGGAAGGAATTGGTGTTCTTTAGCGAGGATTTGTGGTCTATGAAATCTAATGTTTGATAACCAAGAACAGCGTGACGAGATCCTGCTGACTTGCCGAAACGTCGATTCTTCACATCAGCTATGCGTTTCTTAACGCGGGTTTTTATTGATCTTTTAGTTTGTCCTATGTAAGAGAGACCACATTCACAATCAAGCTTGTACACTCCTGCATTTTGCAGTGGGACATTACACTTGACTGATGGTAAAAACTGACCAATCTTCTTCGGCGGCTTGAAGTATGTTTTAATGGAAGCACGCTTCAAGTTGTAGCCAATCTTGTTAGTGTTCGCCTAAATATAAGAAATCATTATTATTTATATATGCATTTGAAATTAAGTTTAAAATTTGACTACTGTTTCAAAAATAATCCTGTATATAGATGAAAACTAAATTCAAAATATTCTTAAAATAAATTTAACGCATCGCTTGTCTGGTTCCAATTGCACTCGGCGAAACCAGTATTCGAATGCACGGTACTTTTAGGGATCTACTAGAGTTATAAAAGCTTTTAGAAAAATTTACTTCGCAAATATCCGCGTTATAAAATAAAATGATATGTCTTACCTAGTATGAAGAGCACCTCCCCCCCTCTCTCAAGGTGGCTAACCGCTGCAATGGCTTTAATTTTAACTAACATTCCTCATAACAAAAGAATACAAAGGGCGGACTTACTTACTGCCTTGAGGCGAATGCCTTTAGAGAATGTGTACCAGTCAACCCATTTAGTGATGAGAATTTGATATAGGTGTAGCCATATAGAATAAAAAATAAATAAAAATAATTATTAACTACGTAATATACTAATATATTATACATTGTACTAAATATATAATTACATAAAAATAACCATTGAGTTATAACATTATAACTCAATGCAAATAACTACGTCTGTTTAGCAATAACTATGACATGGATAATTCGCCAGCGTTGTCTTTAATAGATGATCAGGAACCAACTTTTTAAAAGCATACTTATTGTAATGCATTATTGCAGATATGCTGGTCTCTGAAACTAGTGGGCGGTCCGTGGTGCATGGTGGCCGCGCGCACGGCGGCGGGGCTAGGCGCGGCCGGTGCCTGGGCGCTGGCACCGCTTCTGGCCAATGAGGTTAGTACAAGCCAACATCGCCAGCCCTCGTTATACTTACACATGTTTTCTTCAGCACTTGCCAAATACACTTTCTGACGCCCAGGATTTTGTAGTTAGAGCTCTAAGACTTAAGGTTGTTAAGATGAGGTCTGGAACATGGAGAAATCGTAGGCAATGAATAAGCCAACAAAATCACCATTTTGCCATGTGTTAGAGCCATTCTATATTATGGTTATAGCACGAATCGGTCGGCTCGATCGGGAAAGGACCGCGCTCTTACAGAATACCACCGTAAAATAGCTCAATGCTGCTGTTTAGTGTAGTAAAAATGGACCTTAGTCTTCAGGGGCGATAACGCATCTGCATTTTATTCTTAATCGAGAATAGATTTAGATGTATATGGGCCACAGCATACACCTATCACCAATTGGTCTCTTTGCAAGTTTATCACATTTACCATTTAAAAAAATTACGTTGTATACCCCTGAGTACTAAGAATGACTCGTTTCCAGTACAAAGAGTCTCTGGTTCTCTACACGCACGATACGAAACAGCAGAATTAAGCTGCTATTTTACGCTGGTATTGGTTGAGAATATGGTCTTTCCCTGAAGATAAGCAGCCATTTTGTTCGTTGATGCAGATGTGCAGCGCAGCGTGGCGCGGCGCAGCGGCGGCGGCTGTGGTGCCGGCGCACAACCTGGGCGTGCTGCTCATGTACCTCGCCGCGGATGCACGCCTACCGCACGCGTGCGTAATGTCCGCTCCGCACTCCGCACCTCTCTCTGCACTCCTCCCCGCACTGATACAACCTGATCGTGCTGCTCATGTGCCTTGCCGCAAACGCACGCCTGCCGCACACATGCGTACTGCTCACCTCGCACTCCGCACCTTTCCCCGCACTCCTCGCACCGGCAAAACCTGCGCGTGCTTCTCATGTAACAGCCCACCCCACCCTGCCATACACCTCCGCACACCCTCACTGCTCTGCATCTTTCTCAACCTGAGTCCTTTGCTCGCGTAATGACCTCTTTCAAAATATCTTCGATTTGACGCTATGCTCAATGACCTCAATAGTGGCTCCCAACGGATAGGTCTTAAGATGAACTTGTGTGAAAAAAGATCATGTGTAACGTCCATGTCACACCTATGCCAGTAGTTGTTGGGAGCACTAAGTTCGATGATGAGTATGTTTATCAGGGACAAATAGCCCACTAGGTAAGTCCAACTTCGCCCGAGAGGTCCATCGCCGGATTCAACTCGCCTGAGTTGCGTTCGGAAGATAACGACACATCTTCTCGTCAGGTATATCTCAAAACTTGAAAACAAGATTGATATACCTGAAAGTTGCCAGTGTGTGATGACTTATGATTCTAAGATGTGGTCACTGCTGGCTATATGAGGAAACTCAAGCTCGTTCAGCGAGCTCTGGAGAGGGCTATGCTCGGGGTTTCTCTGCGTGACAAACTTAGAAATGAGGATATTCAAAGTAACTGACATAGCCCAACAGATTAATAAGGTGAAGTGGCATGGACCGGCCATATAGCTTGAAGAACCGACAACCGATGGGGAAGAAAGGTTCTCGAGTGGCAGCCTCGTAACGATGGCGTAGTGTGGGATGACCCCGCGCTAGATGGAGTGACGACCTGATAAGACATCCAGGAAGTCGATGGATACAGGTGTCTCAGGACCGTTCTTTGGAGCATTCCTTGGGGTAGGCCTATTTTTAGCAGTGTACTTGAGAAGGGTCTGTAACGATGAAGATGATGAATGTGTGAGATTTGTAGTGAGGGACGATTGTTTTTGTGTGCGTAGATTTCGCCCCGCAAAAATGACAGACAGTTCGGGGAAAACGCTATGGCTGCCTCACATGCGACACAAAGTTTCCATCATGTTGTGTACCATGGTAAAAATTAACAAGCACTTCATTCTTTATTGATTCTAGACGCTTACATTTTTATTGTGCTGTAGAACAGTGCTATGGTGGTGCCTGGGGCTCTCGGTGAGCCACTGCTTTGTGTTCATGCTGATGCCTGAATCACCCGCCTTCCTGGCTGCCAGCGGAAAACTTGAGGTAAGCAGCTTAAATTGTTCTTTTCTGACTTATTCTTTATATAAATAATAATAAATATGATTCATAAAATAAAACAAAGAATTATTGCAAAGTAACACCTGTTTCTATTAATTAAAATATATTGAATGCACGCACAGAAAAGTCGCACTCACAAACAAGAGAGTCGAGAACGCTGGCGTAGAGTAGAGTAGAGTAGAGAACAATGGTTTGCGTTTTTAGAATGACTAGTATGGCCCAAGGGGCGGGCAATTGCAATACGACAAATAGTGCATTATACAAGAAGGGTGGTGTGGCAGACGGCGGAGCAGTCACTGCGCTGGTTGCGCGGCAGTCCGGGTGCGGGCGAGGCAGGGAGTGGAGCGGGGAACGCAGCGGGGAGCGGAGCAGGCACAGCGTCTCTGAAAAACGAGCTGGCCGCGCTGCCCGCGCCAGATCTCCTCACCAGGTCTGCCTTCGCGCTAGCCAAGGACATGTGTACGTATTTCGCCGTTACTATATATGTATACTTACCAAATTGTTGTTACGTTTGCTTGCACGACTGCGTGGCATACTCTGGCCTATTTCTGCCACCAAGTGGCAGAGTATCTATTGATGTATTCCGATTTAAACAAGTGTATGTGTAGCCTTCTTCTTCTGTGGATCCCGAATGAAATGAAGACATGGCTTAAAAGACAAGCATCCAAGCCAATTTTTTTAGTAAAACAAAGTTTATTCGGGTCCTGGTAAACATTTTTCTCAGCCACGCGTCTTTTTACAAGGCTCCATATTTGTTCAGTGGGATTTAGGTCGCAGTGATATGGTGGTAGTTTCAAAATTTCGTGGTTGTAGCTTTTCAATAGATCATCCACGGCATAAGTTGGTTATCTTTTATTTTCTTTTATTAATTCAAAGAAAAGGCCGTTGTCCAAGTTTCTTCAAAATAAATGTTTTTCTCACGCAACCACTGCTGCATTTCTGATTTCAAATTTGCCATTGTTTCAATTATCCACCTACTCCCAACAGACTCCGAAACGAATAGTCCTGGCTCCTCTTCACTTTGCTAACAACTTTTGGTATGATATGAGTTGTGAATGTACGTTTCATCCAAGAAAACTACGGGTATTTTGTCTGTTATATCATACTTTTCCATTCATATTTTTCTTTCAGACTTGCATCGTTTGTATTTAAAACCCAAAATTTGCACTATTCTATGTAGGGCGACTCAGCTCCCTTCAAACCCAATTTCTTCTTTTAATACTGCAAGTAATTTATTTAAAATATGGAGTTCTTTTTTCACTATATAAGTGATTTTTTAAGAAGATTTTATTGCGAATAGTGCAGAGATCGATCCCATTCAAATTTTTTTTTGAATGAGGATGATGCTTCCCTGGTATGACAATACTTTTCGAAGTTCTAGCCGCTACTTTTCCTTCTTGTGTAATCCTTGAAACCGTTTTCTCAGACACACGTGCAATTTATTTTTGAAAAGATATAAAACAAAGCACGTTTTGAGTATTTTTAACAGTATGTAGATTAACTTAAAATCTTAAATAATAATTTAAAAAAATTATTGTATAAGTATGAAACAAACAAAAATATATATAAAATTCCCATATAGAATAGTAAAAATCACATAGCTGGCATCCCCAAATAAGTACCTGTCATGGCGGCTACTCTTTTGTTTGTTGGTTAATGGCAATGTTTTATGGTGTCAAAACTTTCTGTTTCCGCTTTCCTGCTTCACAAAACTCCATCACCTTCAATATTATTTCTCGACCAGCACTTTTTACAACTTTAGGCATCGTAAACAACACTTTGACTACGGCAAATTAATTAAAAAACGCAATGGCCACGAACACAACAACAATACCTGACAAAGTAACAACGTCAAACATGGCTGACCTATCAAAGTAGTTCCACTTATCGTCGCGGGACTTCTTTCTTGAGACGGACTCTACTCTGCATGCGTAAGCGTCATATTAGTCTGTGTATGCTGCCAACTTCAACTAATTGTAGACTTACTATCAGGTGAGCTTTTAGTTTATTTGTTTCTTCTATTTAAGAAAAAAAATAGAGAGTTAATTGAAAACTATAGACCAATTTCACTCATTCCCATAATTTCAAATATAATTGAAAAGTACATTTACAATAAATTATATAAATATGTAGAAAAACATAACATATTGTGTGAGGAACAGAAAGGATTTAGGCAGCGTAAAACAATAAATATGGCAATATACGACTTTGTACACAATATTCTTAATAATATGGACACAAGAACACCAGTTTGTGCCATATTTTGTGATATGACCCAGGCGTTTGATTATGTTCACTAACCTACACTCTTATATAAACTACACGCCTATGGCATCAGAGGTAATGTACTTAACCTTATAGAATCTTACCTTAAGAATAGAATACAAATAACTAAAATTAAGAATTTTAATAAAGTTAATAAATACGAAGAGACATTTCGATCATCGGAACGTAAAGTCAGCTTTGGAGTTCCGCAAGGGAGTGTCCTGGGACCGTTACTATTTATATTGTATATTAATGACCTACCTAAATACGCAAAACAAAATTTGACGCTTTTTGCAGATGACAGCACCATAACAGTACCTTGTAAAAATATAAATACATACGAATATGATATAAACAATTCCCTAAAAACAATTATAAAATGGCTAGATCACAATAATTTAATAATAAATTTAAGCAAAACAAAGGTTATACATTTCAGTCAACGCAAACACAATAATAGTAAACTCATAATACAATATAATAACTAAAACATTGCGGAAGTCGAAAGCACGAGATTTTTGGGGCTGGAAATTGATGAAAAATCGCACATTAGGACTCTTTGCAAAAATATAAGTAAATCTGCTTATGCTCTAGGCATATTGTCTTCTATAATTTGTACGGATGGACTCCTTACTGCGTATTATGGTACGGTAGAAACATACCTACGATATGGTGTAATATTTTGGGGTAACTCTTGTGAAAAAGGAAAGGTATTTACGGCCCAAAAAAGGTGTATACGCTCCATGTTTAAGCTGAAGAGTACCGATAGCTGTAAGCCATATTTTAAAAAATATAAAATATTAACTCTAACTTGTATATATATATTAGAGATAGCAGTATTTGTAAAGTCGAACCAGAACCGTTTTAAGTGCCTGGCAGACATTGCCCCAAGAAACAGACGCGACAATAGTAGAGTTTATATTCCTAAGGGAAAAACAGCACTAATACGCAACAGTGTCTGCTGTATGGGGCCGGCTGTTTACAACAAATTACCCAAGTGTTGGAGGGATCTCAACACTTCATTATTTAAGACAAGGCTACGAAACTTTTTAGCAGACAAGGTGTACTATAATATCAATGAATTTTTAATGGACAAAATGTTGTGTTAAAATGTGTACGTGAATATTTATTAATAAATTGTATTATTATTAATGTAATTAATTTGACGATGGAATGAATAATTAAATAATAGTGATAATAATGTACCGATTGACTAGACTTACATATAATTTGAAGACTTTTTTAATTTTGTTAATCTAATGTTATATTGTATCGTGAATGACATATCTTCGTAAATTGATAAAAAAATATTTTTGCATGCCTTCTGGTAAAATATGGTGGAATCTATACTATATATTTGTCACCACATTCTGTATCACCCGTATTTGCAAAATAAAGAAATTCATTCATTCATTCATTCATTATAAAATTAATTATAATATTAAGTTCTGGGCAATAATATGTTCGCCACTCCAAAGGCGTCAGTTCTGCGCGAACAAACAGAATTGTCGAAGATGGTGTTCGACAGGTGAGTGTAGATGATGATTTACCCTAAGGGGTTAATCATTAATGCATACCAGTTGGCGAACTCTTAGGAAGGTTAATGTTCAGTAAAAAATTTAAAACAAAAAATTTAATAGAAAATTATACTTTACAGGATGCAGGTTTTGTTGTAGTTTGCCTGGTCCTAACTAACGTCCTTATGTGAGCGAGAAATCGCAAAAAAAATCTCAAGGTTTACGATAAATGGCGGTTTAACCATATCCCTTACGTGACGCTTATAATATCCTGGCGACAATGAACAGGTGCGAGACGCGTAGCGATTGAGGCAAATGTCCTCTATATCGGGAGAGGCTCATGTGCAGCATTGGACTTTTAGAGGCTGATAAAAAAGATTTATATGTATACTTCTAGACGGGCTCTACGGCCTTAATAAATTGTGCACGAAGTTACGGTCAATTCTACGTAACTTCTTTAGTCGACTGCGAACGTGCGTGAAGACTAGTTCTCTGTTTTGTAAATCGCGAACATTGTTTCCGACTATCTAACACTGATATTTATGTGCGCACTTTGTCTGTTTGAAGTTTATTTCAGATAAATGTGTAAGTTTATTTCGTATTTGCCTAAAATCAGTAACTATTGTAAATGAAAATACAATACCTGCACAGCTGACGCCCACACGTTCCGCTGTGACACGGTTTTTGTCCTAAATTGCCAGTTTTATAGTATATATAGAAGTCTTTGGCCGATAATGTAAAAGTAAAGGAATTAGGTCAATATGGAAATGTGTAACAATAAAGTAACATAGTTAGTGATGTGCAGTGAGCGACAAGCGGCGGCGGCGCGCGTTCTTCATCGGCGGCATGGCGGTGGTGGGGCAGGAGGCGTGCGGCGTGCTCGCGCTGCTACAGTACGCCGAGCGCGTCTTCGTGCTCGCAGAGGGTGGCGAGGCAGGGGGCGAGGCGAGGGCTGCAGGGGACGCGGTGTTGATGTCTCCAGCGCGGCACGCGGTTATCTTGGGCGTCGTGCAGCTCGCAGCCTCCTTTATTGCGCTCTATCTTGTCGAACGGGTCGGCCGCAGGGTAAGTAATCGTTTACCTTCTTTTTTTATAGAATAAGGGTGACAAATGAGCGCACAGTCCACCTGATGGAAGGTGGATGCTGTGGCTCATAGACATCTGCATCTATTCTCTATTAAGAATCAAAATGCAGATGGATTGTCATCCCTGAGGGCTAAGATGGAATGTCTATTTTTCGGTATAAAGAAACACCGGTTCTTTACAGTTTCCACTTACCATACGAGACACGGGAGTATTAAGTTGCTATTTTATGCTAATGTTCACCTAAGAGAAAGAATAAGAAGTCTTTTAACAATAGCCCAGGTGAACTTTCACATCGGGACGTTGAATTGAACACGTGAAATTTTCACGTACGGCGTGTGTGCGCAGCCGCTGATCGTGTGGTCGGCGTTGTGCACGGGTGCGTTCCTGGCAGCGGGCGCTGTGCTGGTGGCGTGGCCGCGGCTGCGTGTGGGCGGCGCGCGCGCTGCCGGCCTGGCGCTGGCCGCCGCCGTAGCCGCCGACTCCGCCGGCCTGCAGCCCGCACCCTACGCACTGCTGGCCGACATGTTCCACTACGAGGTGCGTGCACTAACACGAAAACACAAACAGTCGTTCTTTGTACGTGTCTAAACCACTGAAGTATTCTTTTCTTAATCCTGGTCACAACATCTTCTTGCAAACCACACTTTTCTCTTATTCCACAACTAGCTGTCCCCCGCGACTTCACCCGCTTATAATTTACTGCGATTTCATGGTTTTTAATTTTTTTCGCGAAACCCTAATTATTTTTCTAAAATAAAAGTACCTTAAGTTACTCCTTATAACATCGGCTATCTGCCATTGAAAGTCCCGTCAAAATCGGTCCAGCCGTTTCGGAGATTAGTTGGAACAAACAGACAGACAGACAGACAAAAATTAAAAAAAGATGTTTTTTTTTTGTTATTAGTACCGTCGTAGTGTGACTACAGTTTACAAGATGAGTACAAAACGCGATGCAAGGGAAAGTTAACGTACGAAACAAACCCAATGAAAGTCGTTCTAACACTGATTTTATTGTAAAGGAATTTACTTTATATAATTATATGATTATTATAAAAATGATGTAGAAGCAGAAGTACGGAAGTTATACATGTGGGCGTAATTAACAAATAATATTGTGTGCATGTTTTATTAACTATTGTGCGATACCCTTACATCCTGCCGGCCCAAAAGGGGGAAACTATGAAGTAAGTACACAACAACAAGAATATAGCAATCTAAAATAAAGAAAATAAAGTAAAATAATATAAATCCTTAAATATTTCTCTACTGCTCTACACTTGTGACGGAATGTCCAGTCGCACGGATCGCGGTAGGCTCCTCGGGGGCGTGGCAGCCTCTTACCATTACCTCCTCCTAAGCCTCCTATTATTACCGCCGTCATCGGGATTGAGTTCGCAGGGCCAAGTTCAGTGCTCCCTTGCTTCTGCGACATCGCATGATCACGTAAACACATCCCGTTTAACGATCAGTCCCAGTATTGAATACATAACTGAGTACTGGTGTACGTCATGTACGCTGAGTGGTGTGTTTTCTTGTTTGAGGTTTGTGATCTGAGTACTCATTCGACGCCACTCATCTTCATGGTCTTCGGGAATAAACTGCTCGAAGTCGGAATTATTGATAATGGAATTTAGTACCGAAGTGTCTGATTGGGTCGGTATGTTCCCTCGAACTTTGACTTGGCTCAAGTAGTTGTTGTGACCAAATATAGAAAAGGTGTCTCTGACTCTTTATTTTGCAATCTTGATCGATATATAGTAAGCCATTCCCGGTCAGTGACTTCATTATCATTCCAGTGTCCATGCAAAATATGCGCACTTACATTTCCTACAACAAGAGAATAGCCACTTGTTATCGCAATGCAACTTGACCCATCGCTGGTGACACGGCGCCTCCCTTGTACTGCACGTTGTTTTATTATATAACTAGCTGTTCCCCGCGACTTCGACCGCGTGTTAGGGTTTTTATGTTTTTGCGCGGAACCCTAAATCTTTTTCTAAAATAAAAGTAGCCTAAGTTACTCCTTATGAAATCAGCTATCTATCAGTGAAAGTCTCGTCAAAATCGGTTCAACCGTTACGGAGATTAGCCAAAACAAACAGACAGACAGACAGACAAAAATTTAAAAAATTGTATTTTAGTTATAAGTACCGTATTTACTTTCATATGCATTTAGTAAAAAACTGTAATTTTGACATTAAAAACAGACTTTTTTTTATAGAATTTTATTTATTTGTATAGATTATATGATCGAAAAATGATGTATAAGCAGATGTACGGAAGTTATACATGTGGGCGTAATTAACAAATAATATAATTTCTAAGTGACCTAAATTAATGAGTAATGCATGTTTGGCGGGTGGAAGGAAAAGGGGAGATCTCCTGCCGGGCATTGTTCTGCCCGGGGAGCGGCCAACGCTCCGAGTGGTAGTTCGGAGCTATTCTATATATACTGCTATAACTTCGGAACTTTTTTAACGGTTTGGCACAAAGCGCTTCTTTCGAAGCTCCCTTCCTATGGACTTCCCGAGAAATTGTGCGATCGGATCACCAGCTTCCTTGCAGATCGGAGCATCAAGGTCGTTGTAGACGGTGCATGCTCCGACTACAAGCCTATTAACGCTGGCGTTCCACAAGGCTGTGTGCTGTCACCAACGCTGTTTCTTCTGCATATCAATGATATGTTACTAACTGGTAACATTCATTGCTATGCAGATGACAGCACTAGTGATGCTCTATACATCGGCCGTGCCAATATTTCTCGGGAAAACGTCGCCGAGTACCGGAACAAACTTGTGTCTGAAGTCGAGTCTTTGCTGAACAAAGCCTTGGATTGGGGGCGACTAAATTTAGTCCAGTTTAATCCTCAGAAGACACAAGTTTGCGCGTATACCGCTAAAAAGAACCCCTTTATCGTATTTCCTCAGTTTCAAAGCACTCCCCTTCTTGCCTCAGCCAGTATCGGAATCCTCGGAGTCGACATATCGAGTAACGTGCAGTTTCGTGGTCACTTGGAAGAGAAGGCCAAATTGGCCTCTAAAAAGCTTGGCGTGCTCAGCAGAGCGGGACAGTATTTCATGCCGGCACACCGCCTGCAACTTTACAAGGCGCAGGTTCGGCCTCACATGGAATACTGTTCCCATCTCTGGGCAGGGCCTCCCCAGTGCCAGCTCCTTCCACTTGACCGCATCCAGCGCAGAGCGGCTCGAATCGTCGAAGACCGAGTCATTTCCGATCGGCTCGATTCATTGGCACTGCGAAGAGATGTTGCATCCCTTTGCATTTTCTTTCGCATCTACCACGGGGAGTGGATTGAGGAATTGTTCGGATTAAGCCGCCAAATTTCACGAACGCATATACGATACCATCCACACCATCTGAATGATTGGTAGTCCACCACTGTGCGATTTAGAAGATGTTTTCTTCCTCGCACGACTTCCTTGTGGAATCGATTACCATCAGCGATTTTTTCGGACCGATACGACTTAGAGACCTTCAAAAAAAGTGCGTACTCCTTTTTAAAAGAACGGCAACGCATGTGCAATTCCCTCCCTGGTGTTGCAGTTGTTCATGGGCGGTGGTAGTCACTTACCATCAGGTGAGCCGCATGCTCGTTTGCCCCCTCTCCTATAAAAAAAAACTTTGTTAGCGCGATTTAGGATTCGATATGTTTCGCTTGTGGCGCGATGACAGAGACACATGTTTTATTAACTATTGTGCGGTAACCCGTACAACCGTATATACTTTCATATGCATTTAATAAAAAGCTGTTATTTTAACATTACAATGAGACACTTCAATTTTTTTTTGTATAGATGTATAGATTTCTCATCCTAATATTCCGAGTTTCTCTTAACTTGCGTTGCCAGACGTCGTGATTTTGGTGGGACGTCGCGATTTTGGTGGGACGTCGCGATTTTGGAAGGACGTCCCGACTTTTAGCCTAATCTATTATTTATTCTGTGCTAAAATTAAAAATCCCTGAGCCTGTCCCGCTTTTCGGTTACTCGACAGTGAGACGGTTTTTTTTCGGATTGTTTTATATATTAAAATAAGATAATTTTATTCAATATGCTTAACTGTTTTTAATGTTTATTTTAACAGTTAAAAGTTATACTAACTATCTTTATAACACTGCACAAAAAGAAGACTGAGATAATGACGGCTCCGTGGCGCAGTGGCTTAGCAATGAGTTGCTGAGCTGAGGGCCGCGGGTTCGAATCCTGCACGGAACAAGTATATGTATGACCTACAAATAATTGTTCCGGGTCTGGATGTTTGTCCTTGTGCAATTTGTGTTTGTAAACTGCCTCTGCGATACAGGAGAAAATCCTTGTGTGGGGGTAACGTTTTTAAAAAAAAAAAAGTGTAAACACAGTATACTGTATGCTAATAAAGCATAACAACAAAAAATAATATATTATCATTCTCACTTCTCAGTAACGTATCCCATTCTCTCGCAGGCTAAATCCTATAGATGTATATTTTTGTTTCTTTTTCGTTGCATCGAATTTCCAATCACAATAATTGTAAATAAGTTGTCACTTCAAAAAGTTCCGCAGTTGCGCGCTGCTGCTGGTGACGGCGGCGGCGGGCGCGGGCAACGCGCTGGAGGTTTGCGTGTTCCCGCTGGTGGCGCGAGGCGGGGGCGGGCTGCGCGCTGCTATCGCACTCGCCGCCGCTATCACGCTCGCCTACGCGGCCTTCGCCTTCGCCGCGCTACCCGAAACGCGCCGCCGCACGCCCCAGCAGATATACGACGCGCTCGAGTACGACACGCCCGCGTGCAGATTCGTCACGCTCTTCAAAAGATTCACCAAGCGAATTACGAACGATTCTTCGTGCCCCGAGAAAGGGAAATCCGAAACTAATAAATCCGAAAAACCTACAATTCACAAACAAAACAGAAACCTTAATCTTTACGCGCCGGAACAAAATCGTGTGAACAGTGAGTTAGCTAACAAAAGTGATGTGACGTTACACACTAATACCAATAATGAGACGGAAAATACCAATATGTGATAACAGTGCCTTAATAACTTGTACTAAATAATTTTATCGCAAACATGATTAAGTATCCATTGTGTACCTACATTTTAATGTAAAAAATTTCAAACATTAATAATACAATCACATTTGAAAAAGTTTTGTATTTACATAATGTAATCAGTATCTACACAGAAACAAAATTACTGTCCATACTTGTACAAGGTTTTCAGTTAAAACATATTCTTTTATTTCGGATATTTGCTTGTTACTTTATTAGATACATGAAATCCTTAATATCGTACCTAGTAGCAACAGTGTAAGAATATCTACTGCCCCAAATCATGCCGCAGGTGTCGCTGGTGTTGAAAATGCAGACAGACAGCAGCACCTTCCTGATAAAATATCCACCTATAAGACATTCCACGGGGGAGAACTATGTTCAGCAGTGCACTTTTGATAGGCTATTACTATGATGGTGGTGATGAACCTTAATAAAATCTATATTTATATATGGCACGTGCACAATTAAAAAAAATATAATTTTTAAATCCCAATACTGAATTGCGCAATCCAAATGTAAAAAAACATTGCGAGCATATTATGTAACTTATTATATAAGTAATAATTAACAGCTTGCAATTTGTGTATAATATAATTGTAAGAGCCACAATTGACTATTTTTTTAAAAGTTTTATATCGTTAGATCTATAGATTGAAATTGATACAATTAAATTGAAATTATTCATATTATATCGTTTTATTTTACTACGTCTCTACATAGCTTTTACGATCTGTTTATTTTTTAATATTGGTAATGGTACTTAATTGTAAAAAGGTATAATATTTACATTAGTGGACTAGTAAATATTTTTTTTTATAAGAGAGGGGGCAAACTAGCATGCGGCTCACCTGATGGTACGTGACTACCGCCGCCCATGAACAACCGCAACACCAGGGGAATTGCAGATGCGTTGCCGGCCTTTTAAAAAGGAGTACGCTCTTTTCTTGAAGGTCCCTACGTCGTATCGGTCCGGATAAATCGTTGATGGCAATCGATTCCACAAGGAAGTCGTGCGTGAAGAAAACATCTTCTAAATCGCACAGTGGTGGATTGCCAATCATCCAGATGGTGTGGATGGTATCGGGAGTTCTGCCGCGATGTGCGTTCGTGAAATTTGGCGGCTGGGATTAATCCGAACAATTCCTCAGAGCACTTCCCGTGGTAAATTCGAAAGAAAATGCAAAGAGATGCAACATCTCTTCGCAGCGCCAATGAGTCGAGCCGATCGGAAAGGACTCGGTCGTCGACGATTCGAGCCGCTCTGCGCTGGATGCGGTCAAGTGGAAGGAGCTGGCACTGGGGAGCCCCTGCCCAGAGATGGGAACAGTATTCAGGCCGAACCTGCGCCTTGTAAAGTTGTAGGCGTTGTGCCGGCATGAAATACTGTCCCGCTCTACTGAGCAATCCAAAATCTGACATGTTGATAATATCTTAAGCTGAATTAATAGATAAAGGCCAAATAGTTGAAGTTATTTGCACCACCGAACATAACATGGTAGGTGGAGATGGAGACAGTTGACAAAGCCAAATTTTAAATAAGCGACAAAATAGACGTGGGGGAGCCCGCATACAAGTAAAAAAATATATTACATTTGTAAATCTTATAGAAATTAATCGCATGCCACTCGAAAATGTTCTGCTATAAAACTTTGATCATTATGTAAAAATAATATGCATATATAGGCCTCCTCACAACACTGATAGTTCATACTCGTACTTCATAACATATTGTGCAAGGTTTGTATAAAAATCAACAAAGTCCTTGAAGTGACTTCTATATACATATATATTCTATAATAATAATAATAATTCTTTATTCACAAGACTTAGCCTACAATTACAATAATATGCATGAATTCGTACTCAAGATAGTGTAGATATTTGTAATATATTGGCTATTTTTTGCAACAAGAAATTAGTCTTCTACCCCCCGTACTAGTAAAAAACTGTATGACCGTCATACAGTCGCACTATATATTCTCCAGACAACTAAACAGTCTGTGATCTTTAAATGTGTAATACAGACTTTTAATTTAATATAATTAAGTTTCTACTTTTATTTTTTTATTTTTTTTTATTTTATATCTCGTATAAGGCGACAAAGGGAAACAGGCAGGAGATGGGCAGCAGCATCTTCCTGATAACAACAAACTTACAATAAAAAAACTGCGGTTGCCAACCCGCTCGCCAAGCGTAGCAACTATGGCAAATACCCCCCTCCCCCTATGTTGAGATTCACAAAGAAATGGCCCCCAATACCCGGCGGCCCCGCTATTCCTGGCTACGGTGGTGACCATGGTAACGGCGGGGCAGGGGGTGCTAAAAATCTCCGGTGGAGGTTCGGTTGCCACCTAAGACGACTCGACCTGGCAACATACAACGCACGCACCCTGAGGACTGACGAGAAGATCGTGGAGCTAGAAGAAGAGAGAGACAAGTTATGCTGGCATATTAAGTATAGGATTATCCGAAGTCCGAAGAGAGGGGGAGGACACGGTAATCCTCGACTCCGGCAACTTGCTCTATCACCGGGAGGGCGACCATCTGTCCCAAGGAGGTGTCAGATTTATCGTCCACAAGTCTCTCGTTAACAACGTTGTAAAGATTGAGAGTGTGTCGACGAGGGTTGCGTACCTTATACTCAGAATCACCAAACGATATTCGCTGAAGGTCATACAGGTTTACGCACCAAACTTGGCACACCCCGATGAGGAGGTGGAGGAAATGTATGAGGATATCTCTAGAGCCATGCATTCCTCCAAAACCCCAATATACGGTGTTAATGGGAGACTTCAATGCAAAACTAGGCACAAGAGAAAACGGTGAGCTGAAAGTAGGGAAATTTGGAATACGGCAACGGAACCCAAGGGGCCAGCAGCTGGCCGACTTCATGGAGAAAGAGGGACTCTTTATGATGAACTCTTTCTTCCAGAAGCGGCCCCACAGGAAGTGGACCTGGTCGAGCCCCGACGGTTCGACAAAAAATGAGATTGACTTCATTATGACGACCAGTCGACAACTGTTCAGTGATGTTTCCGTGATCGCAAGGGTGAAAACTGGTAGCGATCACCGAATGGTTAGAGGCATACTGAACCTAAACGTTAAGTTGGAGAGGTCTCGTCTAATGAAGTCAACGCTCCATCCCCCTCTGTTCCAAAGTCCCGAAACCTTTCAGCTCGAGTTACAAAACCATTTTCAGTGCCTAGAAGACTGCAATGAAGTGGACGATATAAATGACAACCTCGTGGAAACTGTCCATGCGGTCGGAGCTAAGTTCTGCAAGACCCGCCGCAGAAGAACACAAAAACTCTACGATCACACTCTCAATCTCATGGCTTTTAGACGGGAGATGAAGCTACATTCTTCAACAGATTTGACAGCATACAGGCAACTGAACAGACAGATCTCCAAATGCATGCGGCGGGACTTACGCAACTTCAATACAGCTTGTATTGAAGAAGCTTGTAAGAAGCGATCGAGCAGAACCAAGGCTCCAAAGTCTTTGCCAGAGATCTGTGTGCCAGAAAGAGCCAACTGTCAAAGCTGAAGACAGAATGTGGCAGCATCGTTTCCGGGGCACCTGAGATTTTGAGTGAGATTGAGAGGTTCTATGGGCAGCTGTACACGTCATCGTTGGAGCCGCACGCAAGTGTGAGTAACGACCCAAGAGCGAGTCTTATCCGACATTATTCCGATGATATCCCGGACGTCAGTCTGAGCGAGATTAGAATGGCTCTCCAGCACCTTAAAAACGGCAAGGCCCCAGGCGAGGATGGAATTACAGCGGAGCTTCTGAAAGCGGGTGGAAAACCGGTACTTGAAGTCCTTCAGAAGCTCTTTAATTCCGTCCTCCATGGTGGCATTACACCGGAGGCGTGGAGCAGAAGTGCGGTGGTCTTGTTCTTCAAGAAAGGCGACAACGCTCTCTTGAAGAACTACAGACCGATTTCCCTTCTGAGCCGCGTCTACGTGCTGTTTTCGAGAGTCATTACGAATCGTCTTGCGCGCAGACTTGACGACTTCCAGCCTCCCGAACAAGCCGGTTTCCGAAAAGGCTTTAGCACCATAGACCACATACATACCCTTCGGCAAATTGTACAGAAGTCCGAGGGGTACAATTTGCCACTATGTCTGGCGTATGTGGACTATGAGAAAGCCTTTGATTCCGTAGAAATTTGGGCGGTGCTGCAGTCCCTTCAGCGGTGCCAAGTTGACTGTCGGTATATCGAAGTGCTGAAGTGTTTGTACAGTAGAGCTACGATGGCTATCCGAGTACAGAACCAGAGTACGAAACCTATCCATTTGCAGAGAGGTGTAAGACAGGGTGATGTTATATCCCCGAAACTCTTCACCGCTGCATTGGAGGACCTTTTCAAGCTTCTGGACTGGGAAGGATACGGTATTAACATCAATGGCGAGTACATCACTCACCTTAGATTTGCCGACGATATAGTCCTTATGGCAGAGTCGCTGGAGGACCTAAGCACCATGCTCAATGACCTCAATAGTGTCTCCCAACGGATAGTTCTTAAGATGAACATGGACAAAACAAAGATCGTGTTTAATGTCCATGTCACACCTATGCCGGTAGTTGTTGGTAGCACTAAGCTCGAAGTTGTTGACGAGTATGTTTACCTGGGACAAATAATCCGACTAGGTAAATCCAACTTCGACCGAGAGGTCAATCGACGGATTCAACTCGGCAGGGCAGCGTTCGGGAAACTACGACACATCTTCTCAGTCAGACATACCTCAAAAGCTTAAAACGAAACTGTACAACCAGTGCGTGTTGCCAGTGATGACTTACGGATCTGAGACGTGGTCCTTCACTGCTGGCTGTATGAGGAAGCTCAAGGTCGCTCAGCGAGCTCTGGAGAGGGCAATGCTCGGGGTTTCTCTGCGTGATAAACTTAGAAATGAGGATATCCGCAGTAGAACCAGAGTAACCGACATAGCCCAACGGATTAGTAAGCTGAAGTGGCAGTGGGCCGGCCATATAGCTCGGAGAACCGACAACCGATGGGGAAGAAAGGTTCTTGAGTGGCAGCCTCGTACCGGTAGGCGAAGTGTAGGGCGACCACCCACGAGGTGGAGTGACGAACTGGTAAGACATGCAGGAAGTCGATGGATGCAGGTGGCTCAGGACCGTGCTTTGTGGCATTCCTTGGGGGAGGCCTATGTTCAGCAGTGGACTTATGAAAGGCTGTAATGATGAGGCTAATGAAGTCTACTCTATTCTATAGAAAACTTGTGCCAATGGCAACAGTTTCTCTCCAAAAAGTATAACCACTTTTGTTCATGATTCATATCCAGGTCCATGGTTATACAAAAATCACTGTATAATGTCATCTTGATACTTGGAACCACATGAGTAAATGGAACATTGGAACATCTTATGATGTAACCACACGCCATTTGGTAATTTATTTCGTTTTAGTATAAAAGGAAGTCTTAAAATTATTGTTTGACTATTATAGGCAATTAACAATGCTGTGTTAGTCCTTACTTTAATGTATCGTAGTAAAAGTTGGGTATAGCAAAACAAGCATGAGAGTAAAATTTATCCTGTAGAAACACGGTAAATAAAAGTATGTTATGGGCAGTGGTGCCAGATTTGTTTTCAGGCATAGCGGGATTTCAAAACCTTTTTTTTTAAATCTTCAATCGAACGCGGGACAGTAAAAAAATGTTAATATTTAGTAGCTTTTATCGACTTATCCTTTTGAGTTTCAAAGTAAGTTTACAATGATAATAGGTAGCCATCATCATTACAGCCCTTCACAAGTCCACTGCTTAACATAGGCCTCCACCAATGAATGCCACAAAGCACGGTCCTGAGCTACCTGCATCCATCGACTTCCTACATGTCTTACCAGGTCGTAACTCCATCTAGTGGGGGGACGCCCTTCGTCCACCGTTACGAGACCGTCACTCGAGAACCTTTTTTCCCCATCGGTTGTCGGTTCTTCGAGCTATATGGCCAGCCCAATGCCACTTTAGCTTACTAATCCGTTGGGTTATGTCGGTCACTGGTTCTACTGCAGATATCCTCATTTCTGAGTTTATCACGCAGAGAAACTCCGAGCATAGCCCTCTCCAAAGCTCGCTGAGCAACCTTGAGCTTCCTCATCCGGCCAGCAGTGAAAGACCATTTCTCTGTTCCATAGGTCATCACTGGCAACACGCACTGGTTGTACAGTCTCGTTTTCAAGTTTTGAGGTATACCTGACGAGAAGATGTGCCGTAATTTCCCGAATGCTGCCCAGTCGATTTGAATCCGTCGGTTGACCGCTCGGTCGAAGTTGGACATACCTAGTCGAACTATTTATGCCAAGTAAACATACTAAACAGCAGGCTAAACATACTTGTCAACCACTTCGAGCTTAGTGCTCCCAACAACTACCGACATAGATAGCCATGGAAAATATACTCGTATATTAATGAAATAACGTTACTTTATTAATACAATCCGCAAAAAAACCACCGCGCCTCACTTTAGCGTAATCCCCGAAAAGCGGGACGGGCTCAGTCCCACGCGGGACTTTTAATTTTGGGCTAAAAGTCGGGACGTCTCACCAAAATCGGGTCTTCCGGTAATGCAGGCTAAGAGTGACTCGGAATGTAAGGGTGAGAAATTCACGTCGTGGATAGGAAGACCACGTCGTGGATAGGAAGGCCACGTCGTGGATAGGAACTTATCGAATATACGGGTGATATATTGAAGATGCGTAGATATATGGATGTCAAAGAAGCGAGAGGGGAGTGTCAGGATCTTACTAACTTTGCCTGCCCAGATGGGTGACAGTCGTCAGAGTTTATGTTTTGGGGTATTAATATAGTTTTCTCATCTGGTTGGGCTATGTAAATATATAAAAAATGATAATATATATACTAGAATGAATGATATAGATGAACATAGTAAAATAAATAAGTAATACATAAATAAATAATGATCCTACTAGATGGAAGCCCTTAACAGGAGAGACCAAGCGGTCAAGGGTTAGGGGAAAAGGGAAAGAAACCGGCAGATGGACATACCTATGTGACCCGCCGGGATGGCGACTAGCTCGACAGATGTCGATGTAGTAATCCTTTAGGATGTTAATCCGATAGTTGTTGACTTTGACGACAAATTTTCAGACACAATAGTAAGATAATAGCAATGTACCATATGTGGCTCATGGGACAATGAATGGGTTAATAACCTCATCCTGTGTCGCACAAACAAAATCCTCTGTTTCCTCAAAGAGGTCACCAAAATATAACCAGTGGTGGGAGGCGGCCGTGTCTACGACAGATTCGTCTAGAGTCTTGTAGAATCAACCATGTAGCACTTTTTCCTTCCATACCGTCTCCAGATCGGAGACCCTCTCTACTGGTGGGTCTTGACATTCCTTGTTGGCTAAGGATAGTGGAGTGAGCCCCACATAATAACGTCTTTGTAGAATGACAAGAAGTAATTATGGAAGCTACACACTTCACAATTGTGCATGGCGAGGGTTCTTAAAAAGTCACGCACATGCTTCCGCGACAATTACAGCCTTATTACGAGTACCGACGATCTTGGATGATGCGTTCGGTGGAACGGTGGTTGTATGCTACTGTCTTATGCATGCCCGACAAAACGTGCCAAATGTGCAAAAAACAGATCGCAAACCGATTGCTTCATATCCATCTCATCGATACCTATGTTCTGTTACATACCCAGGTATCGGACTGTTTTAGCATTAGATTTGTAACGCTAAAATAGTTCGATATCTACCACAGTGGCCAACATAAGGATATAAACCTTCCATTTCAACATGGAGGATCGCACATTTATCCGTCCCCACCCCTATTCTAATATAATTGTTAAAATCACAAGTGAGATTTAGCAATTTCATGAGATGGGAGCGACTGGAGGCAAACAATTTGTGATCATCCATGTAGAAAAAGGTGGAACCAGATCAGACTCAGAAAATCACCCTGGAAGATACCCCTACGTATCCTTATCCAGTCTTCCGCATTCGTCATCCATTCACCTTGACGATAAAGGATTGTACTCAATTGCCCCATACACCGCTTAAGAATATTCCTAACTGTACAATCAATCTTGTACAGTTCAAGGACCCTCATCAGCCATGCCATGTATAAGGTATTGAGTTGAATGCCCTTCTATAGTCTATCAATGCGGCAGAGAAGTTTCGACGGTTGCGTTATACGATCTTGCCAATACACGAATCAATGAGTGCGCAAAAAGCATGCATAACGTCAAGTCCCAGACTTTTTCAGTTCAGGGTCTTAAGGACTGCTTCAGCTACGTCGTCCGGTGTTATGATCACGGGCTTCTTAGACGTAATACTTGCACAATGACTCGTCACAACTTTTGTCCAAGAGCCGTTGCTATGGTTATCGGACTCCGACCGGTAAAAAAAATCATCCTCCGTTTACTTGAATGGGAAATACAAAAAAAAAACCGTTTTAAGATTTTATTTCACAATTTTCGAGGCGTGATTAATATTTATAACTATGCCAAATTACAGATTTGTAGCGCCTAAGGTCTCTGAGCAACGGACAGATAGACGGACATAGCGAAACTATAAGGGCTCCTTGTTTTGTAACTACGGAACCCTAAAAATGTCATATGATATTTAGGCGGTTGGTCACGGTAACATTTCAGAGAGTAATAAGTATATTCTTTGTTTACCACTACATCTTATTAGTTAATATTTATCACTCATCTTGTCACGGTCACTATAAAGGATAATTGCCACTTGATACTGAAAATCTGTAAAAACAAGATCCCGAATGAAATAAAGACAGGGCTTAAAGAATGCGCATCCAAGCCAAAAATCATAACAAAAAGAACAGTCACAATCAAATTGTCACTCAATTTGTCACTGTCACTGTCAATGTCACTTGTCAATTTTACAGGTTATCTTGCTGTACTAATTAAGTTTATGTTTGTGCTACGTATGTGTTTATCTATATTACAATTTTATTAATCTATTTCAATTAAAGTTATCATCAAATAGATCGTTATCGCAGCGAATGCGGAACGATCTAATTTACGTCTATCAGTCAGTGGCATCGGAGTGAAGATGCTGTCGCGATGCGTGGTGTCGCAAGTGAAGCACAACTCGTACTTTCTGGTGGGGTTAGCGCTGGGTCTGTGGCTGGCGCTGGCGACGGTGCCGCTGGAGGAGGAGAGCGCTGAATGTGTAGCGGCGGCAGGTGCGGTGGTGGCGGACGAGTGGGAGCCGGTGCGCGAGCAGCGCGAGATGGGCGCGGCGGGTGCAGCGGGACGCAGCGTGCAGCGGCCGCGCTACTACAGCACGGAGCTGGGCATGCGCGCCGGGCTACTGGCGGGCGCGCTCACGTCGGAGGACGCGCTGGGAGGGCGCGCTGCGGCGCTCAACCGCACGGCGGCGCGTTTGCTGCCCGCGCTACGCTTCTTTATCACAGCCAGCGCGCTGCGTTCCGCCCCCGCCGGCGCCAACGTCGTCGGCTTCACCGACACCAGGGAGATGCTCAAGCCCTTCCATGCACTCAAATACCTCGCCGACAACTATCTGGAGGAATATGATTTTTTCTTCCTTGTCACTGATACTACATTTGTGAATGCCCAACGGCTCACAGAACTCGTATCCCGCCTCAGTGTCAGTCAGGATGTTTATATGGGCACCGTAGCCGAGGATGACACACAGTACTGTTCTTTAGGTATGATATAACTTTATTTCACTGCTTACTTTCTCTCTTTACCCAACTGCTAAGAAAGGGTTGTGTTTTTTTGCACGTATCTTGTATATTTGTATGTAAATTTCTTTATTACCTCATATCTTCCAACTGGCTAGATGGATTTCAACAGTTATATTATAATATAATATGTTATATTCATCTAAAAACTCCATCTTAGATTAGCTCTTTGAAAAACATATTACATATTTTTGGTGCAAAACAGTAATATTACTAAAAAAAACTAGCCAAACCTTGATAGGTAGGGTATGAAAATAACGGAAATTAAAAGGGGATTACAAAAATATATATAAGTTATTTGCTTAAATTTAATTAAGAATAATAAAATTGTTTTACAATTTTTGATAGCGTAAAAATGGGCCATGTTTATGTCTGAGCTTGTGCTACCACATGAAATTCAGAAAGTCTAAAATAACATAAATAATTTAAAAACTCAAAACCCAACTGCAAAAAAGACTTCTCAAAAGTAATGTGTACTAAAAAGACAAAAACAAGATTAGGAATAGAAAACAAAATTAAAATAAATTATAAACAAAGTAAACTCTAATTTGGTTTAAAAGACTACTATATTATGAGCTCAAAGAATAAGTTAAATCCACATTAAGTTCAGTAGCAGGCTGGACCCAATTGCAAATTATAAACCAAAAGAAAATTAATGGGTTCCGCTTGATTTTGTCATAGCTACTGTGCTTGGTGAGCGGGTTGACAACTGTAGGTTTTTATTATTTTGAGTTGTCATTGGATAGATCCTGCTGTCTATCTTCATTTTCATTTTTCCTCTGACGCCTCTTATGCCACTCTAGGGCCTATATGGGGTTATTTCACTTTGTAAATAAATACAATCTCAATATTATTTTGAGGCTTGAGCCTTAAAATTAATTTCTTTATCACCAATATCAAATAATCTTTTTGACTAAAATGTTATGGATTATTTGACAACAATGACTACGAAGTTTTCCTGGCAAATTTCAACATCAGTATAATTTGTGTTTTTATCCTTACACAACCAGTTCAAAACATCTTTCGTATTATATAGCATGTGTAGGTAATATTATAAATATACATAATATTACCCCTGAGTCATCTTAGCTTTAATCGTATTACTTAAATGATATGTGGGATATATACACACAATCAATCAATACATGCAAAAAATAGTATCCATACCACATTAATTTGTGCACAGACAGGCACTATATTTTGCCAAAACTACTAAAAGGATTTGCCATTGATCTTAAACTACCTATAAATGCTGAATGTACCTACAACTTTGTTTTATACTAATAATTATTATCAAAGAGTGCACTATATTAACTTACAATACCAAAAACTAAGTGAAAACTAATAGACAATCACTTTTAGTTTGTTTTTAGGTTATAGTAAGATTCATATTTTTTTGGTAATTTCTCAGTACTACGTTTAGATACGGTAAAACTAACATTACTATTGTAATCTATAGATTATAAGAAATAAATCGACATGCATTTCATTAAGGGTAGCTAAAATTTGTAGTGGGGCCATTCTCCATACAAAAAGAAACTGTCTCCTTTTTCGTTTTATGGATTTAGGTAAACACAGAGCTAAGATAACATCATTTGCTGTGAATACTGCAAAATTGATATTATTTTCATTAAAAAATTACAATATAGGCAATTGTTTATTATAGATTATATTTATTTCATAAAAACCCCAGTGATTACAATAAAACATGCCTATCTTACTAACTTACTACTAAGAATGGCAAGTGTGGAGACCTTCCTTATTGGTAATTGAGCATTCTATATTATATATTATATTCATATGAAATAGCAAACTTCGTTCACAGTAACCCTAAATTGTTTAACAAACTATCAGAAGTTACAATTCGTAATCGCCGGGAATGCGCAATTAGATCAAGTACGGCATTGATGAATAAAAGTGTTTTCTGTCTGGTGCCAATAATATATAATAAAATCCCCAAAACCATTAAACAATTGCCTACTACACTTTTTAAGCTACATCTTAAAAAATATCTGATAGCCAAATGTTATTACAGCTTGCCTGGTTTCTTAAATGATTGATTTTTTTAAGCTAAATATTGAATTGTGACATTTCCCTAATGTAATCTTAGGAGATGCCATTGAAATTGTTTCACGTCTAGAATTAGGTCCGTAGGGTTAGTTTCTATCTTATCTAATAAAATATGAAGTATAATTTTTGTACTTGTAATTTTAAGTTTTTTATCAACTTTATATTTTTACTCATGTTTTACAAAATAAATATCTTTATCTTTATCTATCTTAGCCCACTGTGATATGTCGGTGTAAATGGTCCACATCATCCACTTACCATCAAGTAGACTGTGTGCTTACTTGTCATTCAGAAAATTGATTAGTTTTATATGATTGTATGATTGCACACTATGGTATGTCCACAGAGAGTGGCATCCTGCTGTCTAACTCAGTGCTGCGAGCGGTACACGGCGCGCTGGACTGGTGCGTGCGCAACTCCTACTCGCCGCATCACCACGAGAACATCGGCCGCTGCGTGCTGCACGCCGCGCACATCACCTGCACCTCATTCCTGCAGGTAAAACTAATCTTCGGTCTGTGGGACCAAATTACTCTGTATTTTGTGATGGATATGCAGCAACCCGGTGGTTTAATCACCAGGGCGGCCTCTTGCGTCGTTTTTCTGCTACCGAGGCGGCGCCACTTTGGAATGAGGTGCAAGTATGTGAAAGATTTCATAGTGGAGAAGTTAATTTGTTAGGAAAATGTATAGTTTAATGTTTCTTTCTGTAATATTAGTAATATTATTGTTAGCGATTTTTCTGGACCAATACGACCTAGTGACCTTCAAGAAAAGAGACCTTTTTAAAAGGCAAGCCATCTGCAATTCCCCTGGTGTTGCAGTTGTTTATGGGTGGCGGTAGTCACTTACCATCAGGTGAGCCGCATGCTCGTTCGCCCCATATCCCATAAAAAATATACATTATTATTAAACCAGAGAAGTATATTATTATTAAAGAAAAGAAGAAAGTATTAAACCAAATTTCAGATATACTTAAAAGTAGCAAAATTAAAAAAAAAAGGAGTTATAAATATGCAAACAATTAAAGAGCAGACCACTGAGGTGTTGTTTTGTGTATTATTATAATACTCTAGAAATAGACAAAATTTTATTTAAAACTAACCTCTCAATTAAATGGCATTGTGTAACAAAAAATTGAAAATTCCTCTTAGTCCCAACTGGCAACATCTGGTGTGCCGAACATAATCTATGGCCGAACACTATTAGCCCTTATTGTTGTCAGTAAAATGCTGGCATTCAACTAAATACCTGCTGTATTAGTGTTGTATCTCCTATCCCGTAAAACATATAAGACCTTGTAATTAAATTACAATGACAGGTATATATAATATGTCATTTAATATTTTTGCTGACAGAAAGGTAGGCTTAATGAAGAAACATCAAATTAAACACTTTGGTGTCTCTTTATATCATTTTTATTAAATTTTGTTTTCCGCCATGGTGTCTTACAGCCATTCTACTAGATGACGTCCACGGCTGATGTGATGTGAACAATTTTAATTATTCTGAATCTAAATGACAGGGTGAGAAATAGTGTGATAAGAGAAAAGTGTGGTTTGCAAGATGACATTGTGGACTAGGATTAAGAAAGGAATGCTTCGGTGGTTTGGTCATGTAGAAAGAATGAACGAGGAAAGAGTGACAAAGCAAATTTATGTTGCAGAAGTGAACGACAGAGTCGGGAACGGACGCCCTAGATGAAGGTTTATCGACCAAATTGGCGATATATTGAAAATGTGCCAGATTAGGAGTACCCTTAACCGAAGAGCGTGTATGCGTAGATATATGGATGTAAAGGAGGCGAGAGTGGTGTGTCAGGGTCATGCCAAATTGAAGTCCGTAGTCTCTGTCTACACCTCCGGGTGACAGTTTTAAGAAAAGAAAACATGGATTTGCCTATTAATAATTCAATGGAATTCAATTTTTAATATAATTCTGAACTGTGCTTCTCTTTAAACCTAACTTAGGAAACTGTCATAATTGTGTTTGATTTTGACCAGCACTATTGTTAATATTATTAAGCTTTCCAACCTTTGGACCAGCTAATTTAACTGTCTGGCTGAAACATTTGTTGTTTGCCACAGCCTCTATCGTTATTTTTACCAAAGTGATAAATTTGGATACTTAGAGTAATTGTGATATCCACCACCTTATTACCCTCTTATTTATGGAGGATAGAAGTTCTCTATAGATGATAATATAGTGGTTATGAAGTGTCGACATAACGTGCATTCGAACCAAACGGTTTGCTTCGACGCTTCTAGAACGCCACCAAATTACCATGTTCGGCTGAATGAACTCACCATCAGGTGAGATAGTGAAGCAGTGGTGTATAACAGTTGAGAGAGCGAGATGTCACGATGTACAGGGCGAGCGTTACTTATCGTGGCGGCTGACGGGCGAGATGGAGCCGCAGCCAGCGCTGGCTGATGCGGTCACCGCGCACCCCGTGCACGCGCCAGAACATCTCTACCAGCTGCACGCCTATGTTTCCAGGGTAACTTTGCCTTTTAACTTTTATTTTTTGTACAATACTAGGAAATCTTGTATGCTATTGAAAACTTTTTGAAATTTTTTAGAAACAATTTTAATCGGAAATAGGAGATCCCTTTGGACAGTATTCAGAGACAATTTCGGGTTTAAACTAGAAAGAACTAAGGCACTAATTACTAGGCATTGTTATGCCGAAAAATTGTGTAAATAGTAGTTAATTATGAGTCCTGGTTACTTGAATATTTAATAAAGAAATGAAATATATTTTAGAATGACCTAGTTTGAGTTAAAATTCAAGATTGATGTAAACTCTGGGCTTTGACTTAGTTGTTATTCATTGATACAATAAATATAATTTTCATTGTTTCAACAGATATTTTTTAGTATGACTAGCCTTTGACAGGTGTTATTTATTGACAAAACAGATATTATTTTCATTGATACAACATATATTATTTTCATTGATACAACATATATTATTTTCAATGATACAACATATATTATTTTTATTAATACAACAGATATTATTTTCATTGATACAACATATATTATTTTCAATGATACAACATATATTATGTTTATTAATACAACAGATATTATTTTCATTGATACAACATATATTATTTTCATTGTTACAACAGATATTATTGGTTAATAGCTCCTTGGAGCAGTGGCTTAGCAATGAGTTGTTGATTCTGGGGGCCACGGGTTCGAATCCCGCACGGAACATGTATTTGTGTGGCCTACAAATAATTTTTCTGGGTCTGGATGTTTGTCCTCGTGCAATCTATGTTTGTAAACTGCCTCCACGATACTGGAGAATAGTAGTGTGAGGGTAACGTTATTTAAAAAAAAAAGCACAAAAGAAATGGCCGGTAATGGCTTTTGATCATAGTCCATAGTAGTTTTGACATACCTCCTTTATAGTTCCCGATGCATTGTGATACGACAGATATTTATTAGTACCACCAAAAGTGTGATATTATGGTGTCTATAGATGATATGTTTTGAAATACAAAATGATAAATTATAATTGAATCAGGCACTGTTGAATATTAAGCCTTCCTAAGATAAAATTCTATCAATTCAACTCGAAATTATCAACAGTTTTTGGTAGCAAACATTAGTATGTAACTATTTTCTAAAATAGCTTTTGGATTAGTTTTTATTTGGGGACGGCATGGTCCTTGCAGGTGCTTCTGCAGCGCGCGCAGGAGCAGGTGTCGCAGCTGCGGGTCGCTGCGGCGCTGAGCGCGCGCCGACACCCGCGCGGCTTCCGCAACGCCAGCTGGCCGGCCGGACTGCGCGCCACGCCCGGCCTGGCCGCACCGCCGCCCGCCACCAGGTCAGTGCAGCTGCGAGTGCACTTGCGCAACGCAACGCAACGCCAGCTGGCCGGCCGGCCTGCGCGCCACGCCCGGCCTGGCCGCGCCGCCGCCCGCCACCAGGTCAGTGCAGCTGCGAGTGCACTTGCGCAACGCAACGCCAGCTGGCCGGCCGGCCTGCGCGCCACGCCCGGCCTGGCCGCACCGCCGCCCGCCACCAGGTCAGTGCAGCTGCGAGTGCACTTGCGCAACGCAACGCAACGCAACGCCAGCTGGCCGGCCGGCCTGCGCGCCACGCCCGGCCTGGCCGCATCGCCGCCCGCCACCAGGTCAGTGCAGCTGCGAGTGCACTTGCGCAACGCAACGCAACGCCAGCTGGCCGGCCGGCCTGCGCGCCACGCCCGGCCTGGCCGCACCGCCGCCCGCCACCAGGTCAGTGCAGCTGCGAGTGCACTTGCGCAACGCAACGCAACGCCAGCTGGCCGGCCGGCCTGCGCGCCACGCCCGGCCTGGCCGCACCGCCGCCCGCCACCAGGTCAGTGCAGCTGCGAGTGCACTTGCGCAACGCAACGCCAGCTGGCCGGCCGGCCTGCGCGCCACGCCCGGCCTGGCCGCGCCGCCGCCCGCCACCAGGTCAGTGCAGCTGCGAGTGCACTTGCGCAACGCAACGCAACGCAACGCCAGCTGGCCGGCCGGCCTGCGCGCCACGCCCGGCCTGGCCGCACCGCCGCCCGCCACCAGGTCAGTGCAGCTGCGAGTGCACTTGCGCAACGCAACGCAACGCAACGCCAGCTGGCCGGCCGGCCTGCGCGCCACGCCCGGCCTGGCCGCACCGCCGCCCGCCACCAGGTCAGTGCAGCTGCGAGTGCACTTGCGCAACGCAACGCAACGCCAGCTGGCCGGCCGGCCTGCGCGCCACGCCCGGCCTGGCCGCACCGCCGCCCGCCACCAGGTCAGTGCAGCTGCGAGTGCACTTGCGCAACGCAACGCAACGCAACGCCAGCTGGCCGGCCGGCCTGCGCGCCACGCCCGGCCTGGCCGCACCGCCGCCCGCCACCAGGTCAGTGCAGCTGCGAGTGCACTTGCGCAACGCAACGCAACGCAACGCCAGCTGGCCGGCCGGCCTGCGCGCCACGCCCGGCCTGGCCGCACCGCCGCCCGCCACCAGGTCAGTGCAGCTGCGAGTGCACTTGCGCAACGCAACGCAACGCAACGCCAGCTGGCCGGCCGGCCTGCGCGCCACGCCCGGCCTGGCCGCACCGCCGCCCGCCACCAGGTCAGTGCAGCTGCGAGTGCACTTGCGCAACGCAACGCAACGCCAGCTGGCCGGCCGGCCTGCGCGCCACGCCCGGCCTGGCCGCACCGCCGCCCGCCACCAGGTCAGTGCAGCTGCGAGTGCACTTGCGCAACGCAACGCAACGCAACGCCAGCTGGCCGGCCGGCCTGCGCGCCACGCCCGGCCTGGCCGCACCGCCGCCCGCCACCAGGTCAGTGCAGCTGCGAGTGCACTTGCGCAACGCAACGCAACGCAACGCCAGCTGGCCGGCCGGCCTGCGCGCCACGCCCGGCCTGGCCGCACCGCCGCCCGCCACCAGGTCAGTGCAGCTGCGAGTGCACTTGCGCAACGCAACGCAACGCCAGCTGGCCGGCCGGCCTGCGCGCCACGCCCGGCCTGGCCGCACCGCCGCCCGCCACCAGGTCAGTGCAGCTGCGAGTGCACTTGCGCAACGCAACGCAACGCAACGCAACGCCACGCAACGCCAGCTGGCCGGCCGGCCTGCGCGCCACGCCCGGCCTGGCCGCGCCGCCGCCCGCCACCAGGTCAGTGCAGCTGCGAGTGCACTTGCGCAACGCAACGCAACGCCAGCTGGCCGGCCGGCCTGCGCGCCACGCCCGGCCTGGCCGCACCGCCGCCCGCCACCAGGTCAGTGCAGCTGCGAGTGCACTTGCGCAACGCAACGCAACGCAACGCAACGCCACGCAACGCCAGCTGGCCGGCCGGCCTGCGCGCCACGCCCGGCCTGGCCGCGCCGCCGCCCGCCACCAGGTCAGTGCAGCTGCGAGTGCACTTGCGCAACGCAACGCAACGCAACGCCAGCTGGCCGGCCGGCCTGCGCGCCACGCCCGGCCTGGCCGCACCGCCGCCCGCCACCAGGTCAGTGCAGCTGCGAGTGCACTTGCGCAACGCAACGCAACGCAACGCAACGCCACGCAACGCCAGCTGGCCGGCCGGCCTGCGCGCCACGCCCGGCCTGGCCGCGCCGCCGCCCGCCACCAGGTCAGTGCAGCTGCGAGTGCACTTGCGCAACGCAACGCAACGCAACGCCAGCTGGCCGGCCGGCCTGCGCGCCACGCCCGGCCTGGCCGCACCGCCGCCCGCCACCAGGTCAGTGCAGCTGCGAGTGCACTTGCGCAACGCAACGCAACGCAACGCCAGCTGGCCGGCCGGCCTGCGCGCCACGCCCGGCCTGGCCGCACCGCCGCCCGCCACCAGGTCAGTGCAGCTGCGAGTGCACTTGCGCAACGCAACGCAACGCAACGCCAGCTGGCCGGCCGGCCTGCGCGCCACGCCCGGCCTGGCCGCACCGCCGCCCGCCACCAGGTCAGTGCAGCTGCGAGTGCACTTGCGCAACGCAACGCAACGCAACGCCAGCTGGCCGGCCGGCCTGCGCGCCACGCCCGGCCTGGCCGCACCGCCGCCCGCCACCAGGTCAGTGCAGCTGCGAGTGCACTTGCGCAACGCAACGCAACGCAACGCCAGCTGGCCGGCCGGCCTGCGCGCCACGCCCGGCCTGGCCGCACCGCCGCCCGCCACCAGGTCAGTGCAGCTGCGAGTGCACTTGCGCAACGCAACGCAACGCCAGCTGGCCGGCCGGCCTGCGCGCCACGCCCGGCCTGGCCGCACCGCCACCCGCCACCAGGTCAGTGCAGCTGCGAGTGCACTTGCGCAACGCAACGCAACGCAACGCAACGCCACGCAACGCCAGCTGGCCGGCCGGCCTGCGCGCCACGCCCGGCCTGGCCGCGCCGCCGCCCGCCACCAGGTCAGTGCAGCTGCGAGTGCACTTGCGCAACGCAACGCAACGCCAGCTGGCCGGCCGGCCGGCCTGCGTGTGAAGGCAGCACCTTGAACAAAAAAATTACAGACCTTTTTTTAATTTCAATAAAAAGAAAGAGTACTTTCCTATTTATATATAGAAATAAGTATGTAAATACCTCTTTTTAGGTATTTAAAGCATCACATGGCGTGGTTATAAGTGCAAAGGAGTCAATATACAAAAAAAAAAAAGATACCAATTTATTTTTGTAAATAGCATAAAGATTTTATGAAAATCTAAACGGAATCAAGAAATCTGAAAAAAGGAGTTGTTTTGATATTTATGTTCATGTCATTGGTTCAGATAATGTAATATTAAAATATTATGTAATATTAATATTGCTATCTAATATAGATACAATAAATACAAAAACAGGTTTTTGTGTATGTTAAAAGAAAATTAGAATCTATGGGTCGAGGGATTTAAGGAAGCTTCTCTATTTGATGCAGGTACATGGGCTTTTAACTTTCATTTAACTCCATTTAGATACAAATACCTACATTATGTATTCAACAAGTTGCACCATATAACTTGAATACCAAATTGCTTATTTGGGAGTCCAGACATGAATCTTGAATTCATGCCAGCTTTAGTAGATAGATAGTATATATGGTACATATATTTATGTGTAAAAAAACTAGTAAATACTTGTACCAGAAGCAAATATACAGTTTGCATAAGTATTGTGACTTAGTTAAGCCATTTTAATTGTGTAATGGGTGAATTTACAAAAATACTTAGGACTGTAATAAAGCTGATAAACTTCAAACTACCAGACAAATCACCTTCTCTAAATCACATGAGTTTTTGTTAATACATTCACTGTTCCTTAAGAACAGATAATATATTATGTAAACTGACAAATTACAATATTATAATATTATATAAAAGTCCCATGAATCATATAACTTTGAACCATATCCTTCGATGGAATCAGATTCTTCTATCACGCTTAGACTGATGTGTTGTTAACTCTGCAGAAAGGAATATTATTATGTCATCAAAAATTATATATTTTTCTCCTACACGAAATCAGTGAAAATAAAAAGTCTGATAACTTTTACATAGTCAAATATTGTTGATGTAAATCCATTTACTATTTTTGTATTTGATCAGCTGGAGCTAAGTAGTGGTGTATATTTTATAATAATCTCTTATTTATTTAACATACAGGCAGAGATAACAAAATGTTGACAGAAATATGTAAACATAGTTTATTGACATTGAAGGCATAGTCTTATTATTGAAAATTTTCTTCTGATTTCTAACAATATCACAAATGGACATTATATTATTTGAAATGTAAAGCAATACACATATAAACATTTTACACGTGGTAGAGCCATGCTGCAGGTATATTATGTAGTATAGTTGTAGCAAGTCTCCACAAGCTATTTAGTATAGGTGTTTAGGCCCAAATATAGGCATTTGAAGAGGCATCCAATCACGTACCACTTAGTGTCTCACCCGATGGTGTGAGGTGAGGTAAACGCCGCCGAAGGGGGCGGGGGCAGCCGCGTGCCGCTTGCAGTCGCTCAACGCGCAGGCTGAAAACAGTAGCTTTAGTGCAGCGACGCCGTCGCAACGTAACTTTGTGGTGACCTTAGCAGCGATTTCGTGCGCCCAGTTTTGGTTTTACCAGGTCTAGATTTTCAGTATTTGTGCGCGTCACTTCGCTACTTAAATTGTGTTTCGTGAAGACCGTTTCGGATTCGGTTGTCTATTATACAGGGTATTTTTGGAACGCTCCCGAAAACTAAGACAGGCGACAGCACCAAGTATACCTTTGATCATGGGTTACAAATAAAGTCGATCCTGATGAAAAAAAAATCATCTTTTAACAACGTTTTATTAGCTTTATTCACGCGCCATCATGTTAGTACAGCTAAATGAAACGATAATTTCATAAAAAATATCATGAA